TAAACAGAAACACTATAAAATTCAAAGCAAGAAAGGATGGCTTGCATGCCAGTAACTAATTCACATGAATGTTAAGACAAAAGGATAGAAGTGCCAAAGCCTTTCAACTTGGTTGTATAAATTTTTAACTACATTGTAAGTATATCTGTATATGTGTGCATGCATGCATTTGTGTGCATATGTGTGCACATATATGCATGTCTATATACACATATATTACATATATACTTGTACATGTATATTCCTTAATCAACAAAACACATTGTGCATGTTATGGATTATGATTATGGCTTCAATTCAACCATTTTATGTTTTATGTTAGAAATATTAAACAATATATTTGAAAAAAGTTATTTTTATGTTATTGTATCTATAATCCTTAATGTAATTGCCAAAAAAATGTATATCTTGTTTCTAAGCTTTGAGTTACCTGTATATTTAGAGCTGTGAAAATTACACTAAATATACTATATATTTTTTTCCTATATGCTCAGTTCTCAGTATTTCAGTCTTTAATTTTTCAAACTGCCCATATGATTTCAAGAAATGAAAGATTGCTAGTTTCTCACAATCCAAAATAAAATTTTACACAGTTCTCAAGTGTTCTGGTGAATAAAAGCACATCTTGAATTAAGATATTAATAATAAGCTAGAGGATCTTTCATTTACAAATATACACCTTTATTTTTATTGGCTAATCCGAGTGAATCTCATCAAACAAAATTAGGTCTTTATAAGCTCTACCAAATTTACTAAATACCACCTCCTTTGAAAAAAGGAAGGGGGAGAATGTGTTTTTACACAAATGAATAGAGAAAGGATGACTTCATCAAAGAGAGTCTTAGCTACATTACAGAAAAGAGCCGGGAAACAGTAGTAGGTCTTTGTGGCCATTCTCTGTCTTATTCTGAGTACTTTATCTTGCCAGAACTTGTTTAGAGTGAGTGTGGCTTCACAAAGTTGTTACTCAAATATTCCAGGCCTTCCTGTGATCTAATGTTTTCTCTCTGAAGGAAACTTTCCTCTTATTGTGAGATAAATACCTACAAAATATGTGCTAAATCCTCTCCCAAAAGATATTATTAGTACTGTGCACTCATTTATAAGGACAGTTCAACTACTCTATTTACCTTTTTTAATTTAATGCATTCACGCTACTTAAAATGGCTGTGTTATAACAATCACCATTTTGCCAAACCAAGTTCACCTCACAAACCTTCTTTTGGTTAACTTGGCCCTACTTTTAAAACTTGAAATTAGAGGGGAAAAAGTAAAAAATGATCTGGCAGTTATATAAATTTACAGAAGTAAATTGATTGGTATTGGGTATAATAAAGTTACCCTACTGGTTTTGATTAGTTCCTCAGGGTACAAAAATGTAGTTTAGTTATATTTATATTACACAAGTTATAGTCTAAACCGATTTATATTAGGTTTTATGTGAATATATTGTACTTAAATGAGCTCTCCATATATATATATATATATATATATATATATATATTTGGAGAATTCTTTATAAGCGTTACATGGAATGGAAATTGAAGGTACTGAGAAATATCATGATAGGATAACATGTTAGGAGATCACAATGAAGAGAAAAAAAAAGTAGAATGAGCTTAGTGTATTTTCTTTTGCAGCATCTATATTTCTATTCCAGATTTACTATGAGACCTTCTATAGTTCTAGTCATTTATGTATGCCCCAAATGAGTCTACTGTATTTTCTTTTACAGCATCTATATTTCTATTCTAGATTCATTGAGACTTTCTATAGTTCTAGTCATTTATATACACCCGGTCAGCAAACTAGTCCCTCCTGAGTTCACAGACTATTATGAGAATGAAAGTCCCTTCATCAATACAATATGCAATTTACTGGCCTAATAACAACACCAGGAGAATGATTTTTATGCAGAGACCCCCTAGCACCAAGAGCATCTTTTTCAATATTATATGCTCTGTGTTACAGAATGATGAATACTACATCATACTACTACAAAAGTGTTTGATGTTAATGGGAAGAGGCCAAGGAAGTTGGATAACAGAGAAAAACCTAAAAAAAAAAAAAATCAAACTATAAAAGTATCATACAAGTGTGAGTTCCAGGTGAATACTTTTTTGTATCTGTTGTTTCTAAATATTAATGACTGCCTCTCTATCCTGTACCATACCTCCACATTTAACATGTAGGCACTTAATTATTGGGACCCTTATCTCATTATTGATATATTACACTTTTAGCAAGTATAGATAGATAGATAGATAGATACAGATATAGATATAAAACACATACATATTGATGAAATTGTGTAGAGTTAGCCTCTTTCCATCACTGGTTGCAGATGTTATGGCACAATGCCCATATGCTTTCAAATGTTAGCTATGATATGGCCCCACAGCATGACAGCAACATAAAATTGAAAAAATAAAGCCAATTTGTAACTCTAGGAATTGGCCCTCATCACCTCACTGTCCATCTTAACTTATTTTTTACTTTTAAATTACTGAGATACTGGATCCTTCCTATTCTATCTATCACACTCTTACATCAGGAACGACAAATACAGAGAATTCTATGGACTGGGGGAAAGGAGCCAGCACATAATTGTACAGCAAGCATAGAATCTCACTTATACAACCTCCCAGCCCTTTATCGTCCAGCCGAGTAGTTAATTAACTACCACATTGGTACAGGAATATATTTAGTTTGAAGAGCCATTGTCTAGACTTGCTCCACTCCATGCAATACTTTCCTCTTTTACTGGAAGAAAGCTAGATCCTTGACTTCAACAAGAAGTTTTATTCTTGAACATATTTGGGGTCAGGTGTTATAAACCACCTATATAAACCGCATAAACCACCATATAACCTCTATTGGCTTCTGCATAACATGCTGTCTATAAAGGACAAATTTAATTCATCTAACATTGAGCCCTACTTTGTACAATTCAGCAGATATAAAATGGACATGTAAACATGGGCCTTGCTATATACTGACAGGCAGTAGAGATTTCTTGGAAAGCTTTGTGAATCTCTTCTTGATTTTGAAGATGCTATATTCTCTATATAAATGGAACTACAAATTTTTAATTGAAAGCATGTACATAGGAGTTGATGTCATACCTCTAAATTACTTGCAAATCTAAAGCTGAATTCAAATTTACACCAGCCCAAAAAAGTAGAGCGTGAAGAAATCACACCTAGCAAAAGACCTACCAACATTTTCAACTCTAGAGGAGCAACAAAAAAGGATATGAAGAAAAATCTTTCTTGTTTAATCTGAAAGACAATTAAAACAAATAGAATTGGAGGTGTCTTAATTCTGACTCACCTCAAATTCCCAATTTAAACTTAAACTTCTAAAAATACTTTCTCCTGAACTTTCTTTCTTTCCTTTGTTCTCCCACCCCCAGTCCAATTCTGTCAAATCTACCTCAATAGTTTTTTAATCCATTTCACATACACTGACAATATAGTTTGTTTCATATCTCCTGACAATTTGTTTATGCCTTCACCATTTTAGCCTTAAAGGGCTTTCTCTGCCTTTGGTCTTTGCACCTTTAACACCACCCTCATAGAGGTCACATATTGCATTTTTGAACAACATTAACCAACTTTAAAACCTCCAGGTGAGTTTTTCATTGCCTTCCTTCCATGACTGAGCCTTTCTCAAGAAACCCTCCAACACCATTCCCCAGTGAGGAATCTGCTCTCTGCACCTACACTTCAACCAGAAACACCGTATCAAGTAATCTCATGCCTTAAATACGTTCCGCCCGATCCCCGAGCTCTACAACCGCTTGTCCAAATGGCAGTCGCAACACTCCTTTTCTTTCTAAGACTCTGCTCAAGTTACCTGACACGTGTGAAGCTGTCACCTGCAAAGCCCATTAGGGTCCCGGGAGAAAATAAGATAGAATCTAGGCGATAAGACAAGGTCTTACCTCTTCCTTGATGCGTAGCCTAGTCTCACTTGCTCATAGGGTGCCCCGTGCAGAGGTCTTGCCTCAAGGCCTCCAGACCAGAGCTCCTCCTGAGAAACTGCTGCGCTGACACCTCAGCTCGGGGACCGTGCGCAGAAGCCACGCACAACACTCAATCCAAGATGGCGGCGGCGGGCCGTGCGCAGAGACGCTGCGCCATCTGGAGGCTGAGCACAGCAACTGCGACTTCCCCGAGAGAACCCAGGCCCCGCCTCACGCCGGCAGGTGGGATGATGGCCTGTCGGTAGAGCTGTGTACTCTAGAGCGAGAGCCCACCTCTCCAGTCTCTGATCAAAGAATAAAGCTTTCCTTTGGTTCTGAACTACTGGCATGAGCAACACCAGGCAGGAGGACCCCTGTTGGGGACCGATTTGGGAGAACCAGTAAGGAAGCTTTCTCCTAAGGCTCTAGGCAGCCTTGCATGGGGTTCTCAGCGCAATGTACAAATACCTCAACTGCAGAAGGACTTGAGGGCAGTGACAGTATTTTAGTTGGGGATTGGGATCTAAAGAGCTCAATACACTGCACATAGTAGGTGCACTCGGAACACGTGCTGAAAGAATGGATGAAGAGTGATGAAGTGGGAGAAATAATATGGGCAGTGTCGGGGGGGTGTTCATTTTCTGGCTCCATCTGCGTCTTGCCCCATCCCACCACATTCTTTCTTCTACTCCTCTAAAGAAAAAGCAATGATTTATATTCTACAGCAAACTATAACCTTTAGGCCAAAGCTGGCCTACCCCTTGTTTTTCTATGACCTGTGGGTAAGAATTTTTTTTTTTTCATTTCTAAACCATAGGGGAAAAAGCAGTCAAAAGAAAAATGTTATTTTGTGAGATGAAAAAAATTATTAAAAAAATTAAAAATTCTGTGTCTATGAATAAAGTTTTACTGGAACAAAACTCTGCCATTCATTTGCATATTGTCTATGGCCACCTTCTCCATTCAAAAGGCAGAGTTGAGTAGTTATGACAAAGGATGCCTTATGGCCAGCAAAGCCAGACATAGTCACTACCTGGCTCTTGAAGTTCTAAGGCACCCCAGTTCACAGCATCATGCTCCCTTTCCCAACACAGGTACCAGAAGACTGTTAGATCAGGATGGCGTTGATCAGCATTGGCAGTCAGCTCTGCATTCTTTCTATTCTCTTGGGCTTATCATTAATGATATAAAATAATCACCAAGCTCAGGTACTAGCTTGTATATGATGCCTATCAAACAACTGAAAATGTTTGAAACCAAAAAAGGTGATTTTTAAAACCAATGACAGGATATTGTTCTGCCCCCTCAAAATAATTTATTCAAAAAATTGAGACCAGAGGAAAAACACAGAAAAAGAATGCCAACTCATGAAGCCAATCTTACACATTATTTTCCATTCCTGC